GCCTCGTACCTACCGCCCACTCCCCAACCCCCCCCCCCCCCCCCTTCCCCTCTTCATACACACATGCCTGTACGGTGGGTGGTAGAACCCGGTGTGTCCGTCTCGGCTGCCGTCTCCAGCTACCGTGTCTTCCAGCCAGGTGAGGTGGTCGACCTGCCTCGTGTTGCCGTGGCCAAGGCTCATGCTCGCTTTGCCCTCGCTGTCTCGGCAGCTACCCTCCTTGCTCCACTCATCGATCATGTGGTATGGCGGAGGTTCTCCGAGTTCCAAGCCCTGGCAAGCACTCTGAGGAGTGTCGCTGCATCGGCTGGAGGTGGCCTCGCCCTCCACATCGATGACTGCCTCCTCGCTCTGCCGAAAAAGACCTTCCGCCATCCGCTGCGCCTCTTTGGCCTCTTTGACGAAGATCATCTCTCAAAGCGCGCTCATGCGCTTGATGCCTTTGTAGCTGCCCTCCTGAGCCATCGCTCGGTCATTGCCCTCACTCCCGTCGCAGACTTTCTCTGCCTCCCACATCACATGGCTGACCCGGCCGACCCGCCACCGCCAGCCTCGTCACCGCTGGCTCCGCCGGCCACCACCAACCTTGGCTCAAACTTGGATGTGAGCTCGCAAAGTGACGTCGCTTCTGCTCCCGACTCGAGCGCTGCCTCGGCTGCCCTCGCTCCTGACTTGCCGCCGGTCTCGCCCTCGGCTCTTGAGGCTGCATACGGCTCGGTCCCGCCGCCTGCCTTGCATCGTCGTCTTGTCGCCGACGTTTCCTTTGCACCGCCGCTGGCCTCGCCCACTACCTCGCGCACGCTTGCTGACATCCTCGGCTCACCGGCCGCATCTAGCTAGAATTAATGACGAGAGAGAAAATACTCCCTCCTCCCCCCCTTCCCCCTTTCCCCCGCACTTCGCAGGGACTCAAAACGCTTTTGCCGCGTGCCGGGGAGGAAAACCGTCCGGAATTTTTCACTTACCACCACCTCACAACACTCAGCGACAACGCTTGGAACAACAATGTGTACGCTCATCCTCATCAATGGAGATATTAACCACATCTGCTAGTAGCCCACAAGCTATTGTATTTACTTGGCGTGCTCCTTTTCGGCTGTTTGCCTTAAACCCTTGTGTCAGATGCAAGGGATACACCGTGGCAGACATTGTCCGGATGGCCAAAAGTTTCCCCTCCCCCCCCCCACCCTCCCCCCCCCCCCCCCCGCAGTAACTCACCCCACATCTTGACAGTGACCAACTTAACGAGAGTTGCGCTAGCTATGCTAGCGCTTGCCGCCACTGCGCATGCTGTCGGCTACTGCTACGTTGCTCATCCTGACTCTGTGACTCTGAAGTCTTCGGCCACCAAAGTGGACGATATTTTTGACGCTCCCGGCGGTGGCGTCAACAACCCCTGTACCGCGGCTGGACACACCAGCCTTACCACACCTCGTACCATGCCAACGGATACAGCTCCGAGCACCAACCGACCTGTGAAGGCGCTATGACAAACGCCTGTAGTATGGTTCCCAACGAGGTACGTGAGTATCGGGTTGTGCTCGGCCTTTGCTGCACTGACGCCGACATCGAGTCGGACAACTTTGTGCTCAAGGGACCGCGAGCAAGCGGACCTGACCTCAACGGGTGCATTGAAAAGGTGGATCACTCCAAGTCGTGCCCATTCGGCATGACCGAAGGTGCCATCAACTATCCGGCTCATCCCGACGGCAAAACGGGAGAGTACGGCTCGCCGCCGCACTCGTACGGCAACCGTGTCGAGTACTGCTGCGGTACGATCAAGTCTGCGGCCTCGGTCGACCAGGAGATGTGCGTCATCGCCGAGAGCATGCTTGGCACAAACGTTAATTGTCCTCCGGCCTTTCCCAACGGCAACCTCTACACCATCATTCCCCACTCACGCGGGACGAGCCTCCACGATTACTCGGGCGCGGGCTACACCCCCAACGCCTGGTACACCGCCTACCTCAGCAACGAGGACGACGGTAACCGTCCATGGTATCGTCCTGAAGCCCGCGGAGTGACTTCGCTCTCTCGATGCTGCACTGGCAGCGGGCCGTGGTCTGGCTGTGTTGCTTCTCCGTCGCACCCAACCATCTGTGGCACCGACAACCCCAACGGGAACCACGAGGGGTGCCTGTCTCCGACCGCCAGCTCGCCGCTCTGGGACATGACCTGCCACTCGTGCCCACACGGCGGATTTCCTTCGGCCTCGGTCGAGGATCGCCTCCGTACCCCGATCTCCGAGCCCAAGGTGTGCCAGTATGATCTCTGTGGAAACGGCGTCATCGACGGCGATGAGCAGTGCGACGTCTCGCGCTTCTACAGTAACGCCGACTACAATCTGGACTTGGCGGCCGTGGCCTCTGGCAGCCTGCCGGACCCGCGACCGATGTGCAGTGACCAATGCAAGTGGATCGTGCCACAGATGCAGGTCGACTACGACCAGACGACGTTGTCCAACAGCGTCGTCAGGATCACGCCCCGGCTCAACGCGCAATACGCGAGTACCATGGGCTTCAACACGGTCATGAACGTCAACTCGGATGCCGGCAACCAGGCAACCCTTGCTTCGCTCATGTTCAACTACGATCGCGTCGACTACATCATCGCCTTCTTCCCCTCGGGCACCGTCAAGGAGCTCAATGATCAGGTCCACGGCATGGAGACGTACGTCGAGTCGCCTGCAAACGACAACCAGGTCCAGATCCAGGCCCGCGGTCGTCTGGCCTCGTCAGATCCAAACACCCCCGGGAGAGACCTCGGCTACTCCGAGTGGTCCCTCCCCACCTCGCGGAGCGTCCGTCCGTGCGGCTGCAACGACGTCGGCGATGGTCGGCCGTCTAACATGATCGCCACCCAGTCGGTCGACTCGGGCACCATGTCGCTCTCCTGGATCCACAACTCCACGTGCGGCTCTGTCATTGCTGTCGGAAAGGAGGAGCTCCGCGATCCTGTTTCCGGCGATTGGGGCCCCAACGTCGTCATCGAGACCCGCACGCTTGGCGCCCTTTGTGGCCAAACCGTCGATGTCGTCAAGTACCGCCCGACCGAGTCGGACGTCGGCAAGACCATCCGCTTCTCGGCACACGTCGCCAACAACTTTAACGGCAACATCTTCCAGTCGTCTGCCGACTCGTATACCGCCCCGATCGTCGTCGCCTGGCAGCGGAGCTTCGAGGGCCGCGTCATCGCCCCCAACGGCGGCGGTGTCGGTGGCGCCGCCGTCACCGTCCAGCTCATCGACCCGGACACCATGGCAGTTCTCGCCGTCGCAAACAGCACTTCGACATCGTCGACAGCCGCTGGTGGCACATCGTCCACCGGCAGCTTTGTGGCTAACATCTACGCAGAGAACACGCCCAACAAGGGCCACATTATCCGCTACTTTGGCACGTCGGCCTCAGGCGCGCCGCTCGAGTGCGGCACAGCCGGCCAGACCGTGTGCGATGTGGCCAATGTCAAGGTTACCGGAGGCATCGTTTCCCTGAGCCTCACCGATATGGTCGTCCCTACTATCCGCGTCTTTATCAACCACGTCAACTCAACTTGCGAGTTCCAGCGCTCACGGGCCGATGGTGCTCCCGACCTCACCATCGCTGCTTTCACGTCGACAGACGCCAGCATGGCGCCCATCGAGACAACCGCCACGGTTGACCTGTTCCGCAACGCCGGCGAGCCGCATGGCGTTGTGGCCGATGGCCTCCAGATGGCTGCAAGCGTTGCCCTCGACATCACCTATGGTGATCACGTCTTCCGCATCGCGGCCATCAACAACTACAACTCTCTCGACGAGACGTCGGGCCCCCGATTTCCACCGACCTCCCGTCCTCGCCGCTGGGCTTTGTCATCACCGCCCCTGTTGTTGACATTATTGTCGAGGATGTGACCGTCCGCGACGTCGAGCTTGCGCTCTACTCTTCTCGCTGTGGCTACGATCTCGGTGGCGGTGTCGTGATTGCCAGTGGCCCAGGCCTCTGCTACCAGGCACGGTTCGATGTCGGCGTCTCGGCGTCACTTGTCACCATCCCCGCCCTCGCCGAGGTCACCTTTGACTACGAGCTTGCCATCTCGACCGCCGTCGATGCCGGTGAGCCGGTAACGCCTGATGTCCAGCTCCTGGCCACCCAGGCTGGGACCTTTTTCGACACCATCTACACGACTGGGCGGCGAGTCGACCTTGCGCTCCCCACCGATGTGCCGGCTGTTGTCCACTACCAGTTCCGGACCGACATCGACGTCGGAATCGACCAGATCCGCGACTACACATCGATGGAGAATTCGGTGGAGATTTGCAACACCGCATACGGCACGCCCTGCCTTGACTCGTACGATCCAAGCGTATGCTCGATGGCAACGATGTGCTCGCGCGAAGAAATTCGCACCCTTGCTGATGGCTCGGTCGTCGACACGGGCGGCCAGCCGATGACCGACAGCAGTCTCATCGCTCGCTACGGCAGCGTCTTCTGCGTCTTCCTCGAGCTCTCCGAGACGTACACTGTCTTTGACTCTATCGGCAGCAGCCATGTTGAGACCTGCTACGACGTCGAGGGCGAGGTCTCGGTCCGCGATCACGTCTCGGGATCGGCCGAGCGAGTCCTGGAGTACTCGGGCTATGTGGGTGGCAAGACAAACGATACGGACACGTCGGGCGTCCGCATTCCGCTGTTTGTCGACGAGCCGGCCATGGCCGCGCCGTTTGTTCGCGAGCTCGGCGTGCAGATCGCGCCCACGTACTATGCCGGCTCGGCGGCTGTCGACGACGAGGCTTGGCGCGGACCCGCCTCGCAGGCCGATCTCGCCATCACGGCACCGGTCACCCATGTGCTGGACGTTGTCGTCACGGGTCCCATTCTTCAAGAGAACGGCAACATTGTCGAGTTCTCCGTCAGTGAGCCGCTGCTCATCCTGCACGATCCTCCCGGAGACAGCTCGTACGTCGAGCTCGAGTCCGGAGCAGCGATTGTGGCGACGAGCGAGAGGGAGCGGATGTGGACCGAGGGTGACGAGATCGACTCGCTCTTTACACCCATTTTGTATTCCAATGAGGTCTCGGTGGGCAGCTCGCTTGGACCTCTTGACTTTTCGGTGGTTGCGGTCAGCTTTGAAACCTACAAGGCCGAGATCAATCACCTAGCGCATGAGCTCCAAAGCGGCGACCGCCTGGGCTCTCATGAGAGCGAGGCAGTCACGCGCACCACAATCGCAACGTCATCGCTACCGGAAGCCGCCTTTGAGGAGGGTCTCTCGGACGTCATCGTGCTCAAGACAAAGGTCTTCCGCGTGGTCGACACAAACATGGTCACCTTTGATCCCACAACCTGTCGTGCCAGCCGCAACACTTCCAGCTCGGTGTACAAGAAGGTCTCGGACGATGCCATCGCCGTTCACACCTGCGCCGACATCCGCAAGAACATCGCTCAGCTCCGCCACGATGCCGCTGCTGCCGTCCTCCAGTCAGACAGCGCGGTGACGACGGCAGTGCTGGACATGGAGATTGCGCGCTGGGAGAACATCCTCAGCATCCACAACCGGTCCCTGCATGAGGAGCCGATGGAGGGCACTACGGCGCAGGACCGGATCAAGTCGATTGTCTCGCGCGACTCGCAGCTCTCGCACTTTGGCCTCGACACGCTCGGCTTCAACGCCGATGACTCGACCATCTCGCTGTCGGGCGGACAGGAGCTGGTCCTCGAGTGGGAAATCGCAAAGTCTGAGGTGACGTTCTCGCAAGAAGTGTCCCACGCCACCACCCTTCCCATGACCTCTCGGCCCCGGCTCAGGTCCGCGGACTACGACATGGATGTGGACGACCTCACGCGGCGTGACATCATCGCCCAGTTCCTGGGTGATATGAGTATTCAGGCCAACAAGGCCTCTCAGACACGCCTTACCATCGCTAGCTTCGGCTACGAGAGCTCTTACGAGCGCAGTATCTACGATGTGTCCGAGAAGCGCTCCAACGACGAGGTGAGCGAAGGCAGTACGGCGCGCGTCCGCATTGTCCTCTCCGACAGCAACCTCGGCGATCACTTTGTCATGCGTATGGGCACCGATCCGCTCTTTGGCACTCCGGTCTTCAAGCTCCTCGACGGCAAGTCCCGCTGTCCGCACGTCCGGGGCACCATCCGGCGTGAAAGCGTGTCGCTGGTGCCGGCGACCGCGAACCAGGTGGCGGACGTGACCGGCGTGGCACCCGATGGATCGGCGTTCTGGCGGTACTCGCTGATCAACACCAACCCGGATGAGGGAGCCGACGTCTCGGTCTATGTCTCGCTCCTCGACAATGCTGGTGGCATGCGGGTCTTCCTCAACGGGCAGGCCATCGGGACCGGGACCGGGCCGTTTGGCTCGTTTGATGTCTCCATCCCGCCGCTCGCCTCCGGCGAGCCTGCGCCGCAGCTCCTCCTCGAGGCTCGCCGCGATGGAACCGACGCCTTTGTCTCGGGCCCCATCACCATCACCGCAGTGCCAACGTGTGAGTTTGGCATCGATTCAACGTCGCCGGACATTGACGAGGGTGTGTCCGAGCAGGTTGTCTCGGTCGAGTTTGTCTCGCCATGCGCGCAGGTTGTGTGGGCTGATGCGCTCGGCACGGGCGCGCCGTTTGCTGTCCTCCACGACGAGCATGAGCCGCACGACGAGACCAAGTACCTCATCACAGGCTTTGTCCGCAACCCGCTGTACTCATCGGTCAGCCGGTGGCGTGACCATCCACGGCTGACTCTTGTCCGCGTCCAGTACGCAGCGCTCGGGACCGAGGACTTTACCGATGCCTCGGGCACTGTCCTCCTCGACACCGGTGCAAACACGGCCGGCTTCGTCCATCTGTACAAGCGCAGCGAGGATGATGTCGATGGATCCGAGGCCATCTCGGCCGAGGGCATGTTTGGCCTTGGTGCCTTCACCTGGGATGTCTCGGCCCTGCCAGATGGCGAGTATGAGCTCGTTGCCGAGGCCATGTGCTCCACGCCCGGCTCGCAGGATCCGATCGTGATCTCGACGATGACGCCGCGAGTTCGCGGCATTATTGATCGCTCCATCCCCGACGCTGCCGCGCCGCCGCGTCCGTTCTCGGGCGAGTACATGCCTGGCGAGTCCGACGTCGAGTTTGCCTTTACCGAACCGGTCGACTGCAAGCGAGCAAAGGCGACGGTGACCGTCGCCGGCCAGCTGGCGTCGCCGGTCTCGATCGAATGCATTGGCACGCGAGTCCGGGTCTACGTCGACGCTGCGCTGGTGGACAACGCCGGGGCGCTGGCTCCAACCCAGTCCTTTGTCGTCGCCCTTACCTCGATCTATGACATTGCCGGCAACCCGGCGCCGGCGTCGTACTCGCACACGCTGCGGACGGCACCGCTGGATCCGTCGCGCGCGCGCATCACCGTCGCCGGCCTGGTGGGCAAGGGCCCTGTCACCGACTACGGCTCGCTTGCTAACTACACCGCCGTCATGGGCGATGTGCTGGCCAACGCCACCCGTGCCCAGTCGGGCCTGGTCTTTGGCGACGACCGCATCACCGTTGTCCGCCCGACCGTCCTCTCGTCGGGCGACGTCATGTTTGACGCCTTTGTCTCGGACGCCTCGCCTGCGGACCCCACCCTGCCGGGAGCTATCGCGCGCGATCTCATGGCTGCGATTGCCACCGTCGACGACGTCAGCGCTGGGCTCGCCTTTGACGAGCCGAGCGCCTCGCCGCGGTCGGCCCTGGTCCGATCGATCTCCACCGGCGCTCGTGCCGCTGGCTCGCTCCGCCTCAACATTGAGCCCGCCCTCGCCGACGTGCTCGAGCACACCCAAAGCGAGTGGCACGCCGTCCATGGGCAGCAGTCGTGGGAAGGTGAGCGCAAGCAGGTGATGGTGACCCAGACCATCGCCGCCACGCCGTCGCCGGCCGCCGCCGCGCCCATCACCCCCAGCAGCAGCTTTGCCCTCACTGCCGCCATCGCCGTCGCCGCCATCGCCACCGTTCTCCTCGTCGGTGTCGTCGGTATGCAGTTCAAGATCCTGTCCGCCGTCAAGGTTGCCGCCAACAAGCCGGCGTGGTCCGAGACCAGTGGCTTCACCGGCGACTCGATGACGACCATCGAGTCTGGATCCTCGTCCGAGTAGTAAACTCTGGCCGTCAAGTCACCTCCCGCCTCTCATCAGCTCCCAACACACAGACGATCGATCGATCGGTGCGGACTGCCACCGCCAACCGCTAATCACCTGTCAGCATCACACACACACACACACCCTTCTCCTCGTGCCTCCTCGCGCCCTTCACCTAACCGTGAGATGTGAGATGCCCATTGTCTGCGGCGGCGGAGAGAGCAGTGGTCTCCAGCTCCCCATTTGGCCATGTCCCGGCATGGAGTGGCGTCACGGTAAACCCCCCCCCCCCCCCCCCCCCCCCCCCCCCCCTCCCCGCACCCGCACAGCCTCGACACCCCGCACCTCTGCTCCACCACCAATTCCGCGATGTCGCCACACCCGCTTCACAAAGTCGCCATCGACACGGCTATGGAGGCATTGGGTTTGACTACGCACGGCCTGTGGAGGGGAAGCACTTGACTCTGTGGCAGCAGGGCACGAGGCGAGTGGCAGAAGCCAATCTTGAGACGAAGCCATGCGCGTGGGTGACAGGTCCGGGCCCTTGGGCGGACGGTGGGGGCTGGGAGTGGCGGGTGCGGTAGTAATGATAGTGGCAATAATGGTGGCGATCGGTCTGGCCGATGTGGCTGCGGCAACAACAACAACGACATCAGTGGGCGGGGGTGGATCTACGTGGATAGCGCCAAGTGTGTCCCAGTGTTTGCCGGATGCGACGGCGGTGCGGCAGCTGGTGGGGGTGGCCAACGGGGTGAGCGCCGTAGTGGCGGCCGATTTGGACGACGATGGCGACCACGATCTGGTGGTTGCCGTCAGGGTTGCCGACTCTGTGTGGTGGTATGAGAACGTCGACGGCAATGGAACGTATGGACCGGCTCGGGTGGTGTGCGCCGTGTGTGACGGTGCCGAGGGCGTGGCGGTCGGTGACTTTGACGACGACGGCGACATCGACGTGGCCTCGGCCTCATCTAGTGACAACTGCATCCGCTGGCATCGCAACAACGACGGTCTCGGCGGCTCGTGGACCACCTTTTTGCTCATGTCTGGTGCGAGCGGTGTGCGGTCGGTGGTGGCTGGCGACGTCAACAGCGACGGCTTGACCGACTTGGTCTCGGCCACCCGCAACAGCGGGTCACTTGTGTGGCTGCGGAACAACGGCGGGCTCGGGTCGCCGCTAATCATTGCCAGCGGCCTCGGGAGGCCAGGTGCGCTGAACCTGGGTGACATTGACGGCGACAACGACGTCGACGTTGCCGCCGTCTGCGAGAACGACAACGAGGTGGTGTGGGCAGAGAATACTGGCGGTGCCGGACTGGTGTGGACCGTCCACCGGCTGATCGGCTCGCTCAAGAACCCGTCTTCGGTGGCAATAGCCGATTTGGACGGAGACGGTGACCTGGACCTCACGGCCTCGGCATACTTTGGCAACGCGCTAGTCATGTTTAAGAACATCGATGGTCGTGGCAGCTTTGGGCCGCTCCTCGTGGTCTCGGCCAATGTAGACCGGCCATACCAGGTTGTGACGGAGGATTTGGACGGCGACGGCGACATCGATCTGGTAGTGGCCACCAATAGTTGGTCGACCAGTGATGTGGTATGGTTTGAGAACCGCGACGGACACGGCTCCTTTGGTGGGACCCGAGTGGTCTCATTCGGCCATCAAGGGTCGTCGTCGGTGGCAGTGGCAGACCTGGACGGCGACGGAGATCGTGACATTGCCGCCGCGTACTTTAACGACGACGTTGTAGGCTGGTTTGCAAACAGCCTCGAGGCAAACCGCGAGTACTATGCCGCAACCGACAACGTGGTGACCACGATTGTTGACGAGCTCAGCGAGATGGTTGTTGTGGACATTGATGGCGACGGCGACCGCGACGTCGTCTTTTCGGTCCAGGAGTTTTTCGGCTGGGTGGAGAACGTAGACGGCACCGGCACCTTCGCACCTTTCGTCGCCATCGACTCTACCGGATTTGGCGGCGCGAGCCAGCTAGCTTACGGCGACATTGACTTGGACGGCGACATCGATGTGGTCTCGGTCACGTCGACAGGCGTGCTTGCGTGGTACAGCAACGACGGTGGCAAGGGTGTAGCTTGGACGCAGCAGGTGATCAACTCCGCCGAAACGAACAACAACTATGCACTCGCCACAGGCGATGTCGACGGCGACGGGTGGTGCGACCTTGTGGCCGCCAGTATGGTCGACGACGAACCACTGGTTTTGTACAAGGGCTCGGCGAGCGGGTGGACGACGGTGGTGGTGGCGGAGACAACCAAGCACTTTCGCAAGTTGGCCCTTGTTGACCTCGACAGCGACGGCATTCTTGACTTGGTGGCGTGCAACAAGTCGGAAGTGTACTGGTTCCCCAACATCGGCGGCGAGTTCGGGGCTGGCATCCAGATCGAGGCTGACACTGGAGCGTTTGTGATGTCGGTGGCGACGAGCGACATCGACAGCGACGGCGATGTCGATCTGGCGTTGACTAGCGGCACCTCGGTCCATTGGTACGAGAACATTGACGGTGCTGGGACGTTTGCCGCAGCGCGTGTGCTGGCGGTCGGGACGAATGCAAACGACGTGACGCTGGCCGACATGGACGACGACGGCGCTGTGGACATGATTGTCTCTCGCAGCGACAAGGTGTATCTGTACCCTAACCTCCACAACGCGAGCTTTGGTGGTGGGCAACTACTCAAGACGGTCGCCTCAGAGGCATGGATCAGCGTGGCCATCGACATCGACGACGACGGTGATCTCGACTTGGTGGTCGGCGCCGACAACGGCATTGCGCACCTGGTCTTACAAACCTCGCGCAGCCCGTTCAAGGTCACATATGAGCCGACCGAGCGGGGGCTGGATGATCCGATGTGCGTTCGTGGAAACGCGACGGCTGTTGCGTGCTGGGGGGCATCGCTGGCTCGCCTCTCCAAGTGCACGACCGACACGCTTGCTCTTCCGCCCGGAGAGTACGACTGCCCTCGGCTGAGCCACGTTCGCGAGCACCGGCGCTCAATCCGAATAGCAGCAGCTGAAGCGAGCACCGTGAACTTTGCTTGCGATGGCAGGGTGTTGTTTCAAGTCGGCGCAGATGAGGACTCGGTCGGCCAAGTCGAGGTTGTGGGCATCCGGATCAAGGCAACCGGGAGTGTGGCCACGGTCGACGGGGTGCCGGGCCTTCGTGTGGACGCTGCCGGCGGTCGACTTGTTCTGCGCAACGTGACGATAGAAGGCGGGACGTCGACGGCGCGCCCGACGCTTCTCTCGGGCGGCACCGGCGGGTGCGCGCTGGCGGTGAACGGCGGGACGATCGAGGTGATTGACTCTGTTGTGAGTGGTTGCACAGCGTCGGGGAGTGGCGGGGCGCTAGCCTCGGTCGGCATTGGAAGCACAATCCATGTTGTCCGGTCCGAGATCTCAGACTCGGTGGCTGGCGGGCTCGGCGGAGGGCTGGCGGTCATTGATGGTGGGCTGGCGACGCTCCACTCGGTCGTCGTGGCACGCAACTCTGCCGAGGAGGGTGGTGGGCTGGTGGTGGCTGACGGAACGGTAGTGGCATGTGAAGCGACGATGACGGCCAACCGCGCAAGCAGGTCTGGCGGCGGCGCGCGAGTCCTAGCCGGCGGCATGCTCAATACGAGCAGCAGCACGTGGGAGGCGAACACGGCCGGCGTGGCTGGTGGCGGGCTGATGGTGGCGGTAGGCGGGCTAGTGAGCCTGGAGTCGGACACGCTGACGGCGAACGCCGGTGTGATCGGCGGTGGGCTTGCCGTCGGGTCGCAGCCAGACGCGGCCGCGGCCGCGGCGACTGTGGCTGATATTCCGACAGCGGCGTCAACGTACGGCATCGACCGTAGCTCAGTCGCCAGTATTTCCTTGGTCGATGTGGTGCTGAGCGCAAACACAGCGAGCAAGGTCGGTGGCGGGCTGTTTGTGTGTGAGGCGCGGATCAATGTGGCTGGCGATGCGACCAAGTGGGAGGGCAACACGGTCGGGTTCTCACCTTTGGTGCGATCGTCGGGCGACGCGTTTGTGTGCGCGGCAATCGAGAGCGGCGGCAGCGGGTGGAAACGCGACGTAGCCGACATGTTGCCGTGGCTCCGGATTGAGCGGGAAGTCTTTGACAGAGACGGAAGAGGGTGGGAGATCCATGGCCCGATGGCGTCGCTGGCGTGGGTTGTAGCCCCGCCCGAGCGCGTGGAGGCCGGAGGGCGGGTCGCTGCAAGCATTGTGACGCGCGACTGGCTAGGTCAAGACGTGGTGTATGAGACAAGTGTGGTGGCGACGACGTTTGCGGCGTCGGCGGTGCTGGAGCCTTTCGATCTCCCAGACACGCTACTGGAGACGATTGTAGTGGCGCTTCCCGAGGCTGTGCTCGGAGTGGCGGACGTGGAGGAGGCGCCCGGGCGTGTTGTGATCTTGGTGGAGGCGGTGACGGACGGAAGCGGTCGCGGACTTCGAGTGGCGGGCCTGGATGCTGGTATTGAGATCACGGGCTGTGGTATTGGCCGCGGTGCTGTTGTTGCGGATGGAGTGACGACGTGCGTAGCGTGCGGACCGGGGACTGACTCGCCGGACGAGTCGTTTGGCGCATGCGAAGGCCTCGGCGAGTGTCCGATCAATGCACTGCGGTTGCAGACGAACGCGACAAACGAGCCGTGCATGTGTGCGCCCGGTTTCTGGAGCCGGGACGGACAGGTGAACGTGGCGTGCGAGGCGTGCCCTGTGGGAGGCCGGTGCGATGGAGGACTGAGCCGGCCCGTGGCGCAACCGGGCTTCTACCCGGATGCTGGAAACCCGACGCTGTTCTTGGCGTGCCCGAATGCGGGCGCATGTGTGGGATCGGGGGCGTGTGCCGAAGGGTATGTTGGGCGACTCTGTGCCGAGTGTCGAAGCGGATACTATCGGCTCCGCGGGCAGTGCTTCAAGTGTCAGACCGGGCTGAACGGGGCCGTGACGGGGCTGCTTGTGATCGGCGCTGCAGTGGTCGGCGCGGTGCTTGTGGGCTTCAACCTCGCGGAGAGCGTGCGGTACAAGTTTGCGGCAGTGATGATCGGGCTCAACGCGCTGCAGATCTCTGCGCTGTACGGCAAACTCGATCTGGACTGGGGCGAGTTTGCGGCGGTGTACTTTGACATCATCTCATCGCTCAACCTCAATCTCGAGCTGACAAGTCCTGAGTGCAGCCTGGCGGCCGGGACGGATGTGTGGGTGGCCAAGCTTGTGCTGACGCTGCTGCTCCCGGTGTTGGCCGTGTGCGTGCTGGTTGCGGTGGGGCTGGGGTTTTGGTGCGCGATCAAGGCACGCGTGCGATGGTTTGCCGGCAAGAACCGGGCGCAGCTGGTGGCTGCCGTCCAGCGGGCGTGGTTCCAGTTTCTTGTCCTCCTTTACCTCCCGCTGACGAGCGCGGCGCTCTCGGTCTTTGGCTGCCGGCGCGACGAGGCTCGGCGGTGGGTGCTTGACGCCGATCCGGTGCGGAGCTGCTACAATAGCGCATGGTGGGCGGGCCTGTTCCCGATCGGGCTCGCCGGCGTCGGTGCGTATGCGCTGGCGATGCCGGGGATGGTGGTATGGCTACTCTCACGGCGACGCGCGACTATGGACGTGGTCACCTTTACGTTGCGGTACGGGTTTCTTGTTGGGCGGTTTGCGGTCGATTCGTGGTGGTTTGAGGCGGCGATTATGGCGCGGAAGCTATCTGTGGTCGGGTGCATGACGTTCTTCTTTACCGACGACGGCAAGGCCAACGCGGCGGTGTTTGCGCTGGCGGGCAGTCTGCTGCAGCTGGTCATGACCCGGCCGTATCTGGCGCGGATCCACAACCAAGTGGCGGTTGTAGTCCTCTGTGCCACCATGTCTGTCCTCTACGCTGGCACCTTTGCGGATCGGACGTTCCGGCGGGTCGGCGTCGCCGCCGGCATCGCCGTCAACCTGGCCGCCATCGTCGGCGGAACAGCGCTCGACGTGTGGCGGATGGCGCAAAGCGAGAAGGCGGCCGAGACCCTCATGTTCCAGCCGGGCTCTTTCCACATGGACACAGAGGTCGAGGTCGAGGATCCAGTGGCTGCCACGGGGACGTTCACCACCACCGTCGAGCTCGACATCCTCGGTCAGCCCGAGATGGGCTCGAGTCCGGCCTCCTCGCTCGGTCCTTTCGCGACCGAGGGCTCGTCGATTTCGACCGCAGTGGCTTGCTCGACGCCTGGTCCCGGCCCGCCGACCGGCCCGCCGACCGTCGTCTCGTCAGCGGCGATGCTGTCACTGCCGTCGGCAGGTGCCGAGGACTCAGGCACCTTGACCACAGTGGGTGTGGATTCAGAGTGAACACCCCAGGCTGGGGTGCGTCGCGGCAGAGTGGTAGTCGGGTCATTGAAAAGCGATCGAGTTGAATCTACATATTGGTTCTACGAGGCGATTTCGAGCGGAATACGCAACCGAGTTCTACTACGATGAGCGCAACGAGTAGCTGATAGTTACGACTACATGTGGTTAGAGTTTGGTCGTTGAGCATGGCTTGTATTATCGGACAGAAGACGGTGAAGCATGGACGCTGGTGATGAGACCAGAGAGTGCTCTACTCGGACCACAATTGAGACACAATAATAAAAATCATTAAGAATCGTCTCCAAACGGCGAGAAATAATGCTTTTACATATTTTAACGTGTGAAAGTAGATTTTTTTTTAGAATTATGGCTGTGGTGCTTTAATATTATTATTATATGAACGTAAATTTATATAAGTATATGGTTGAGATAATTTTTGTTTGCTTCGAGACCTGGAACAATCGAATCTCTTCCCGTTGCACACACAAGCTATATTCACACTACAGAGCCACATTGCAGCGTGAACGCCGCAATGATGGTGGTGCGTCTTCATCCCGTTGTGTCAAAGTATGAGGCGGGAGTATTGAGGGCGGGAAGCGTTGTTGGGAGGCTCGAGGCCCTGAGGAGGGTGGGCCGGCACATGCGCGTTCAACGGCACGAGTGACCAGACCGTTCTTCGACCGTTCCTGAGACCGCCCAAAGAACACTTGATCGTTCCCGGACCGCTTCTGAATAACGTCGTCAGACTATTCCTGGAACGATATCCCAAAGAACGCGATGCCCAAGCTTTCCTCTTGCGCCTGGTCATCGCTGATGACCTCTGACTTGTGCGTGAGCCGGAGCACGACCTGCACCACTTCCGTGGCCTTCACGGCCAGCGGTGCATCCCCCCCCCCCCCCCCCCTCCCCTCCCTCCCTCCCCCACAGCGACCCCATATAACCACTGCAGGACCGCTCTCACGTTCTTTTCAACACA